TGGAAAGGCTCCTTGGAGAAATGGTTGCTGTCAGGGCTGGGACAGGTTAAGTACAAGATAAACCTGGAATATCTTATTTGGGCAGGAAGTGCTCAAAAAATCATTTGAGATATGAGGGTGAGGGGGGTGTGGAGAGGTGTGATTTGCCAAAAAACACTGGAACCAGCTTGATGAGGCACGCAAAGGTCAAAGCTGAGACAATCTGGAAATCAAAATAATGACAGTAATGGATGTAACCATTAAATAAAGTAAGAATCCATGAATTCAGGGGTGCCTGGGTGTCTGCTTAGTCAGATGAACATCCAATGCTTGATTTCGGCTCAGGTCATGATCACAGGGTCTTGGGATCAAGCCCTGCATCAGGCTCCACATTGAGTGTGGAGCCTGCTTAAGATTCTCCCCCCACACCCCTTCCTGCCCCTGCCCCTCTCCCCGGCTCATGGGTGCTCTCTCTCTTAAAAAAAAAAAAAAAAAATCCAGGAGCTCACAGAGATAGAAATAACTGGATTAAATTATTAATAATGGAGAGATGGGAAAGATGGCTTTGTGACAGAATACCAACAACTAACTATAGAAGGAATGGTGAAGTTAGAAAATCATGAATGGATGTTAAACTTCTGAGTAAGTGAAATATTGTTGTGACTATGTAAATATTCTGTCCCTCCAATCTTTTACCCACAAATTACATATTAATTACAAAAGGATAAATAGTAACTTTCAGGGAGAAATACGGAGAACATCACCTTAACCAAATTTTCAAACTTAACATCACCAACACTGAGACAAACCAACATCACAAACCTCAAGATATGATGTACTGATAAAGAGAGAACATCTCTTTAGAGGTATTCCTGCCAAAAATGTATAGCCAATCTAGTCATGAGAAAACAACAGACAAATTCAAATTGAGGGACATTCTACAAAACAGCCATCCTGTACTTTTAAAAAATGTCAAGGTCAAGAAATATACAAGAAAGGCTGAGGAAGTATTCTACATTAAGAGAGACTAAAAAGATAGGACTAGAGAGATCACAGGATACATGATCCAGGATGGAGGGGGGGATCAGGAGACAAGTAATAGATAAAAGAGATAAAAATGAAATAGATAATAGTATTATATCATTTTTAAATGCCCTGGTTTTAATAAATACACTGTGGTTAGATAAGATAATGTCCTTGGTTTTAGGAAATATACTATGAAGAATTCAGGGGTAGAGAGGTATAATGTCACCATCTCAAGTAATTCAGAAAAAATATAGATAGATAAATAGATACAAGGCAAGAATGATAATGCAAGTGCAGCAAAACGTAACACAACTGGTGAATCTGGGTAAAGGTATAGAGGAGTTCCTTGTACTATTCTTCCAAATTTTCTTGTAAATTTGAAATTTTATCAAAATTAAAAGTTAAGAAAAAGTAGAAAAACAAAAACTTGGCCTATTTCCCAGACTGAATATCCTAATAGACTACACAAGTTCTGGTAATGCTTAAAAATATGCTAATGCATTTCCTTTATCCTCAACTTTGCTTTGTTTTAAATTTTATGACATATCAGATACTAACTGTATTATATATTCCATAAGATCCAGGACTGTATCTGTTATCACTCTTGTCATAATGAGTACCAGGATACTATTTATTATACCAATAAGCACTCAAACATCTGTTAGCCGAACATACTCAAAATTATAGCATAGGATGATTATAGAAAAATAATCAAATTATAAATTGTAAATAAAGCTATTAGTTAGGACACAGAATTTTGTAGAACTTTTCAATTAAATTAGAAAGAAGAAAAACCAGGAATAAATTACAGAGTAGTCACAAATCTAACCTAAAGACAGGAGTTCCACAAATAGAGAAAGGCAAACATCACCCTCCACATCAAGGGTTAATCATCTTAGCTAACTACCAACAGTCACGATAACTAATCTTCTTCCTCCATGAAATAGAATAATATATGAGTTACAAAAAAAAATCGGGTTACTTTAAAAACTTAGGCTAAGAACTGAGATTTAAATTTTCATTACTGGCTCAATAATAAGTTGCTATATGACCTTAAACAATGCTTACAATTTCTATTTCTCATTAAAAATAAGACTCTTTGTGCGGAGCGGTGGCGGAGGGGGCGGGGGCACGCCTGGGTGGCTCAGTCAGTTGAGAGTCCAACTTCAGCTCAGGTCATGATCTCGCTGTTCGTGAGTTCAAGCCTGGTAACCAGCTCTGTGCTGACAGCTCAGAGGCTGGAGTCTGCTTCAGATTCTTTGTCTCCCTCTCTCTGCTTGTGCTCCCTCTCAAAAATAAATAAACATTAAAAAAAAAAAAGACTTTTGGGTCATTTTCTTATCAAAGGTAGAAAGTATAATATTTTATAAAAATTATTTCAAGCAATAAGAGCACTGATTATATTCAATGCAAAAAAATATATGTACATATAAACATTCACACACATGCAAAAGAAAAAGAATACGGCTTTTTTGTAAATATGTTTACATAGTAAAGTATTGAATGTAAGCACATTAATAACAAAAGGCAATTTAAAATAATTACACAAACTACATTTAATCCCAATTCACACTATGAATAGGTGCTTCATATATAGGATACTGAAAAAAACAGCCAGCCCAATCAACAAGTGTATATATATCCTGTTTAAAAGAGTTTTATTGCTTATTTCAAAATAACAATGACAAAAACAAAGTACGAGATGGATTTTACTAGGTCTCCTGACTGGGACTATGGGAAACAATTCTCAAATATATTTAGAGCCCAGAAAATATTTCCTTTCAAATACAGTACAGTTATACACATTACATTAAAAATGTAATATAGAGATTGCATGTTAGACATATGGCATCAACTCAATTTTCAATGTCTTCCAATCCTACTTGAGCATCCAACTAGGTAAAGCAGAAAGATATTCTAAACCCCTTTTTCCATCAAATCCAATGTCATGTTTAATTAAAATTTGACGATTTTTTTCAGAAATACACATAACTTTGTGTATCTGTAGAGTCATACTGCATGTATCTAAGTAAGAAGATAAGGGGGAAAATCCAAAGTATACGAAAACATAAAAACTGAGCTAAGATATCTCAGAATCACTGTGTGCCTCGGCAAAACTTAACACAATTATATCATGAGCCAGTGTTTCAATGCTGTCATCCTGCCTGATTCTAATCAAACAAACTCAACAGTTTCTCAACAGGTTGACCGTGGAAGATATCTTTAGGTAAGCATGTGTGAAAACGGGTCCATTTTGTATTTAGGAAGCACTAGCAACAGCCAGCTTAACATTTTTATAAAAGAATAAATAATACCGTGAGGGTTGGTTTTTTTTTTTTACTTTTTTTAAGAACTAAAATCATTCATAAATATTTGACTAAAGAAAGCTGTTTCCCAGAATGTTTCCTTAAACAAGACCAAAATGTATTTTACAAGGGTAAAACATCAAGTTGCCTAAAGTGAACTTAAATGCTCCCTAGTCAGAGCTACCTTCTTTCTGTGCGTTTCCCTATATCCACCGTTTTCTGCAGGGCACATTTCTGAGCTAAGGCTGTACTAGTTTATCCTTCCACTATCTTCTTCACTAGTGAAAAACGAGACAGATCTTCAGGCGCTAACCAAGCAAATCTGAGGGGGGTGGGGGGAAAAGGGGCGCGAGGTGGCGCAAGAACAGATGGAAACAAGGTAAGAGAGTTGTTTTCTTAAGGCACTGAGGTTACTCCTCAACTCCCAACGCCAAGATTTAATCGCCAGAAGAGCAAGCTGCTGCCGCTATCCAACCACTTCTCAGGACAATGCAACCCTCCTTTCCACTTCTTCCCCTACGCTCCTACCCGCAACCGCCTTCCAAAACAAACAGACACAACACACCCCATCCCAACACCCTCCCTGTCCCTCCTGTGCCCACTAAATAAACCAACCTGCTGGATAACAGCTCCTCGCATACGTCTCACTCAGACAAAAAAAAAAAAAAAAAAAAAAAAAAAAACCGACGGCGGCACCGTGGGGAGTTCCCACCACCTCCCGCCACCCCGAGCAAACCGCAGAATGACAGCCCCAAACCCAGAAGTTTGTAGCAAAACGATTCCCACTCCACCAAAAGGGAAGACGGAATTGCAAGAGAACAGGGATGGGAGGTGGGAAGGGCGATGTGCGTTTACATGCAGAGAAAGGTCCATCACATGACAGTACGAGAGGACCAGAGTCGTCCCGGCGTCCGCGAGGAGAAAAGGGGGGCGGGGGGAGAAGGGTGCCGTCGCCATGGCAACACCCCCCATCCGTCCAGACTTCCAAAGAGGGAGGAAGAACTTCAAATCCCAACCGTCAGCGCTCGAGCAGCTCCTTCTTAAAGGGGTACACACAGCGCCGCCGCCGAGCGCGAGAGGGCAGAGTTGGGTGCCCCCGCCCCTCGGGCGACGCCCCCGCCGCCCCTCGCCCCCAAGCCGGCCCACCCGCGACCCCCGCCCCGCGAGCGCCCGGAGGGTCGCCCCGGTCCTAGTCTCCAGGAACTCGGCCGCGTCGACTCGCCTGGCCCCCGGCGGCGAAAAGGGGGTGTGTGTGCGCCTGGCGGGGGCGCGGACCAGCCCGCCTTCCTCCCGCCGGCCCTGCCCGCCGGCTCCCCTCCGCCCGGGCGCCGACCCACCGGGCCGCTGCCTCCCTCCCGACAGGGTGGACAGCGGGCGCCGAGGGGGCACCGCGGAGTTTCGGGGAGAGCGCGAGCGAGCGGTTTCCTCAGGGGCTCGGCGAGCGGGTCCAAACTAACAGTTCCTGAGGAGCCCAAGAGCCGAGAAGGGAAGGAGCGCGAACCGCGCGGGGCGAGAAGCCCCCAGACAAAAGGCGAGCGCCGAAGCCGCCGCGCCGCCGCCGCTCCCATCGCGCTCCCCCATTGAACTGACCCGAACGGGAGACTGAACTCACCGCCTCAGCCACAAACTCCTCGGGCTGCGGCAGCCGTCGCCGCGCGGAGCCGGGGCCCTGACCCGTGTCTCTCTTACCTACACAGTGCATGAGGCGGTGGCGCCAAGAGTCGAGTTCCCGCCGGAATCCTCTCCTCTCCGCCGCGCACCGAGGGCTCCGGCACTGAGCGGCGGCGGCGGCGGCAGCAGCGGCGGCGGCAGCGGCCATTCTCTCTCTTCCCTTGTCCATCTGCGTCCCGCGTCACGCGCCCTCATTTACATACGAGCGGCGCAGGCACGAGGCAGGGGCGCGAGCCCTCGGCGCGAGCCCCGGAGCGCGCGCCCCCCGGAGGGGGGTTGATTGACACGTGTCACTACGTTCCCTCTGCCCTTCCCTCCCCCTCCCTCCACTCCCTCTGGGAGAGGCGGGGAGGGAGCGTGAGGAGAAGGAAGCAACCTGCCGCTTCCGCTGACCCCGCCTCCCCATCCACTCCCATCTCCCTCCTCCCCCCGGAGTTTACTCAAGCGAGCCATTCGGCTCCCACCGCCCGCGAAAATCCTGAGCGGGCGCGAGAGGCTCGGAGCCCGGCCAGAAACCAGCGTGCTAATGGAGCGGACTCGCAACGCCTCCCTTCTGACTTCGCGACGCGACTCAGGCCGCCTGGAGACTTCACTTCCCAGGCTCCGTTGCGCCGGGGTCCCGAAGCAGAGCTTGCCTCCGCGACGCGATGCCTGCCGGTCTTTGTAGTCCAGCAGGGACGGACACGCAACTCGTCTCCCACTTGGGCTTGCCGACTGGCCTCTGACTTCTTCGCGCTGGGCGGCGTGTGGGTTTAGCCTCCAACTCGCAATCAGGATGGCGCTGCCAGCGTCGCCGGGTCTGACCCAGCCGCCTTACCTTCTCTGAGCTCCTCGACAGAAGAGCGCTGGAAACCGCCCGAGTTGTCTGCGCTTTTGTGCTTTAAGCTCTGGAAACTTTTGGGGGTCACTGTCACCCCGCCACCGCAGGAAGAGAGCAAACCGGGCTTTCGGCTGCATCAGAAATAACTGCCAAGTATCCAGAGAGAGATCCCACAGTGACTTCAGTTTCCAGGGCAAAGAGATCTCCGGAAGCTAGAGTATTTACAAGGATTAGGGGGAAAGAGGCTTTTCATAGAAAATTATTTACGGGGGGGATTGGGTGTGGCTCGTGAAAACTCCAAAGGGGGAAACTGTTATGCTCCGCAAAATGTAAACTCCTGTAGGACAGCGACCCACTGGGACGTCTGTACCTTGACACCTCTCACTTCTCTGACGCTAGTACAGTGCATGGCACGGGATTTAGCATTTTACAAATGTTATGGAATAAATTCTATGCTGTGCTAGAGAAAATATTTCTTCTTCAGAGAGAGGGAAAACTTTTGATTGGACATAAACTCCAATGACATTTTTTACTTTTGCACCAGGGTGACTGTGCATGAGTTTCTGTATATGCGCAGGGGTCAAGCCAAAGCTAAGACACCCAAAGTTTGCTGAGAAGCACTGTGTGTTACTGGAAATGTATGCACAAGTCTGAGGGAAATATGCTTTATTCTTCTTGGAAACTCTTATGCATTCTGAGTTCAGTTCCACCCTCCCTGTTTTGTGGCTTATCCTTATAGGCTTGCTGGATTGCTTGCTTGCTTCCTTTTTTTTTTTTTTTTTTTTTTTGAATAATGAAAAAGTGTTTCATTATTCATAACCTCTCAATAATGAAGAAGCAGTTTTACATTTTCACAAAGAAAAAAGAATGAAGTTTGAATTTCACAGTCACCCTTTCCAAAATTGTCACAGTTGAAGAAACAAGTAAAATCACTAGTGAAGATGCTTTCGGAATGATCAGTGAATGGATTCAGTTACAGATTCCACTCATATTACAATTGCCCAGATGATCAGCCTTTGTAGCTTTCCTGGTCACTTTTACAGTAATCTACATTAGTTAGGATGGGCTAGGTTACAGTGCAGTAACAAAAAATCTAAAAATGTTGATGACTTAAAACAACAAAAAATGATATTTCCTGCTTAACTGCCTGTTCATCGGGCCTGAGGGGTGGGAAGGGGAGGGAGAGAGGGTAGTGGGGAGACTGTAGATGGTTCTCACCAAGCAACCAGATGACTAAAGGAGGCTCCAATCTCTAGAACGCCCCTGCTTGCACGATATACAGAAAGAACGTGAATGGCAAACTGGTTCTTGCTGAAAGTTATACAAGTCAATTCCACTCCCCATTTCATTGACAAAAGCAAATCATATGAGCAGACTGTCTTCAAAGGAGCAGGGAAATATAATTCTATTTTCCCAGAAGGAAGATAACCCAAGTTTACAGGTAAACTGCACCAATGATTACTACAATCCATTCTTCTAATCATCAACCTAATCACTCAACTTATGAGACAAAATACATTCCCTCCTATCACACATGAGACAATCTAAAATTTCCATTCAGTAAAGGCATTAATCTCAAAGTTCAACATCTCTGGGTGACTCTTGGTAGTCTCTTATTAAAACAAGATAAAGGTTCTCTTGTTAAAGATAAAGTATCTATCCTCCCTGTTTACACACACACACACACACACACACACACACAGACACACACATACACACCCTGAACGCATAGTGCTGGAATAGGAACAGAATAACCTTGGTAAACATTCCTATTTAGAAAGGGAAAGAATGGGAGAAACACATGAATAGTTTGAGCAAATATTTTACCACAGCTAGCATGGATTGCCAACTTTCCAGCTTTTAACAATAGTTTCCTTGCCACCACCCACTGAGTTTCTAAATCACAGCTACAAATTTTAGATTTTCTGTCATCAATACCTCCTGGGTACCAGTTTCTACATTAGTTAGAATGGACTAGGTTATGCTTTAGTAACAGTAACCCAAAATCTCAGAGGTTTAATAAAAAGATCTATTTCTTTTTTCTTTTATTCAAGTTTGTATTTAAATTCTAGTTAACATGTATGGTAAAATTGGTTTCAGGTGTAGAATTTAGTGATTCATCACTTACATATAACACCCGGTGCTCATCACAACAAAGATTTATTTCTTACTTAAACTATCTGTTCTCCAAAAGTCAGTATCAGGGAGAATGGGGAGAACAGTTCCATGTCCATTAAGGGACTCAAGTTTATGAAGCCTCACCATTTGGAAGCACCCCAGTCACCATGACAAGAAAAATAAGATGCTGAATCACAGTCCAGCTTTTAAAAGCTTCTGCCAGAAGTGACATAGTTCCCTGGGTGAAGCAAATCATGTGGTCATGCCTAACTTCAAAGGAGAGATATATCAGATAGCTTTAAGGACATAACAAACCACTCCAAAACTTAATAGCTTAAAACTTCAACTATTCACTTAGCTCATGATTGTATAGAATGGCAATTTGTATTAGGCTCAGCCAGACACTTCTGCTGGCCTGGGCTGCACTTACTTAGGTATCTGTGATGATCCTCCTGTCAGCAAGGCAGCTCTGTTTCTGAGGGTGAGCTGACTATCAGCTTAGGACAAGAGAGCAATCAGGCCAGGTGTCCCTCATCATCAAGAGGCTAGCCCTGGCTTGTTCACATGGTGGCAGTCACAGTGTTCTAAGAACAGCAAGAGAGCAAGCCCCAATACACAAGTACTTTTTAAGTTTCAGCTTGAGTCCCATTTGCTCTACTTCCAATGGCTAAAGCAAATCATATAGCCAAGCCAAGCATCAGGATGGTAAAATAGATTTCATGTCTTAAGAAAAAGATCTGGAAGACAGATTGCAAAGGGGTATAGATAGGGGGAAGGAAATAATTTGTGGCCATTTTGCAGCCTTCTGCATATGGGAAAGTACATTGCTACCATGTTTCCCCAAAGAATGAGAAATGGAAAGATCAATGAACAGAACTAATGAATATCACTGCTGAAGAATTTCTGGGAGAAGGGAAGATCATGGCCATATGTAGTGAAATACATAAATGGAGCCATCTTTGAAAGTCAGCTTGGGAGCACCTGGGTGGCTTAGTCGATTAAGCGTCCGACTTTGGCTTTGGTCATGATCTCTTGGCTCATGAGTTCGAGCCCCGCATCGGGCTCTGTGCTGATTGCCAGCTCAGAACCTGGAGCCTGTTTCAGAGTCTGTGACTCCCTCTCTCTCTGACCCTCCCCTGCTCACGCTGTCTCTCTCTCTCTCTCTCCTAGAAATAAATAAAACATTAAAAAAATTTAAAAAAAAGAAAGTCAGCTTGACTTAGAAGAACACAGAATTTTCCATGGCAAGTATCAGAGAATATAATAGTCCAATAACTTGACTTCAGGGTAAGCTCGAGGAACATAGAGATAGGAGTCTATCTGATTCACCCTTGTGTTCTCAGCATCTAGTGCTCTTCCAGGCACTTAATTGGTGCCTAACATTTTTGTATCGACTTGACAAATATTTAGGATATCCATAAAGCCAAGGATAAAGGGTCACATCCAAAATTATCTCCAACACTAAAATTCTAGTTACTCATAAAGTAATTTTTATAGAACAAAAGATACATGATATGAAAATGTTAAGGTTCTTTGGAAAGATGTTTTTGTACTTCTATCTCCTACATATATCATATCATTTATTTCTTTTTTTAAAACAGTTTTTAATGCTTATTTTTAAGAGAGATACAGACCATGAGCAGGGGAGGAGCACAGAGAGAGGGAGACACAGAATTGAAACAGGGTCCAGGCTCTGATCTGTCAGCACAGAGCCTGATATGGGGCTCAAACCCACGAACCGCGAGATCATGACCTGGGCCGAAGTCAGACGCTTAACCAACAGAGCCACCCAGGCGCCCCTCATTTATTTATTTCTGTGTAACAAACTAATCCATAACTTAGCGCTTAAAAGAGCAACCATGTGTTTCTGTTCAAAAGTCTACAGGTCAGATTGCAAGTTCTGATCTGGAGAGGCTCTGCTGATCTTGGCTGGAATTGCTAATGCTGGAAGCTGCCTGATCCGAAATAGCCTCACTCTGGTCTGGAGTTTGGCTCTGTGTTTGCTGGGATAATGGGAATGACTGAGCCATGAGTACCATCATCCAGAGGCTGGCTAGAGCTTATTTACATAGTGGTGGCATGTGAAGCACAACATTAGAGGAAGCACTAATGTGCAAGTGTTTTCAAGTCTTTACTTCTGCTGCTTGCCACTCTCCTATTGGCCAAGGCAAATCACATGTCTGAGACTCAAATCTAGGAGAATACTAACAAATGGCATGGATATAGAAAGGTGTGAACAAATTGGGGTCATTACTATAACCAAACCACCATAAATTTCCATCCAAGTTCACCATTCTCTACCTAAAACTGATTACCACATTTATAGTTTTTATACAGTACCAAGTATAGGTATAAACTACTAGCAAAATTAAAAGTTTCTTGATTTATGTGATCATTTGGCAGTCAATTCTTAATCTGGAATACATTTTAGTAGATGATAATGAAACCATACAAATTAATTGGAGTGGTTTGAAACACTCATGTTTTCATAGTAGAGAAATATAAAATTTACAGAGTGGTATGACAAGAGTCATGTTTTTTGAGATTCTAATAAAAAAATGAAAGTTATTCTTTTTTTTTTTTTAATTTTTTTTATTTTATTTATTTCTAGGAGAGAGAAACAGCGTGAGCAGGGGAGGGTCAGAGAGAGAGGGAGGCACAGAATCTGAAACAGGCTCCAGGCTCTGAGCTGGCAGTCAGCACAGAGCCCGACGCGGGGCTCGAACCCACGAACCGAGAGATCATGACCTAAGCGAAAGTCGGACACTTAACCGACTAAGCCACCCAGGCGCCCCGAAAGTTATTCTTGTACTTAGCAACAAAAAGAAACAACCCAATATACTAAGAGGATTGTAAAATATCTACTGAATTGTGAATCATCAACATGTAACACAAACATAATATATATTTTCTAACTTAATAAAATGTAAACACTTTGTATGAATTAGATATTTGTAATTATAAGGTATAAATATTCAATGCCTTAATTAATTATAAAATGATTCATAATTCTGAGAAGCCATTTTTTGAGTAAATTTTATTAGCTGCTTTAAAAAAATCACAACTTACTCTATTTCCTTTAGTTGTGAACTATAATGCACTGCACTGATCAGAGATGTAAAAATCAAAAACAAATTTGATCAACCAATTATTTAGGGCATGGAACATAGCCCCCTTCCAGAAAATTTCTAATCAGCCACATAATCATACTATGCTAAATTTTATGCAAACATCTTAGATTCATCCAGGTTTATGAGTCAAAGATTTCTCAGCATTCTTTTTCTCATAAGAGTATAGACTCCAAGGATACCATTATCTCAGATAGACA